GGTTGCTGTAAATGGTGTTTCCACGCATTTTTCCTGTGCCGATCCCTTACATTCTGCAGACCGAAGTTTTATTTCAATTCTATTTAAAGGTGCTTAATTGATCCCAAAGGGAAATTACCATAAATATCTTGGTCATGTATTTTTTACAATAAGTTATGTTAATAGCTGCAGACAAAACTGCTACAGAAGTGATCAGTGACCTTAGTTCATTTTATATTCTAATAAAACATTTTTTCTTTATTGGGTAGAATGAAAACACTTATTTTAAATTATCAACTTTTTCCATTTCTCCTTGAAACCTTCAATTTGATCCTATAAACTGTAAATATGTTCTAAATGTTCCTGCATGTTCATTTCTAATCCTGTTCAGTAATCCTGTTAGTTTTCTGTTAAGGTCTAAATATTTAAAGGATCCATCTTATCTTCCTCCACTTGTTCCTATCCTGGCCTGTGCACCACCTGATGTGTGTGTTTGAGTAAACATGTATTTGTTTATGCATGGGTACTGCACCCTTATGTGCTATATGTGAGCATCTGTGTGTGAAGGTTAATTAATTCCCAGGACAGCAGCACACACACATCAACAGGCCTTTCATGATAATAGGTTTGTAAATGGGGGATTCAAGCTGCCAGATCTTGTACCATGCATGCAAAGATCTCAGCTGGTTGCCAAGGGCGATGTTTCTATGACGGCTATGCAGAGTATGACTTTCTCTCTTCCTGTTTACATGCAGCAGAATCCCAAGACCAAAGCCCAAATAAAGCTCTTTTTAACATCTGTTTTATTGTTTCGTTTCATTTTAGAAAATTTTAGGAATTTAGATTTTCCTCTACCTTCAGACTTAGGTGAAGGCCTCATGGGAACTCAGTTCATGCTCACTTTTTTTTTTTTTTTTTTGAGGTTTGCGATGGAAAAGGTTAGACTTGTTTGGCCTTAACATGCCAGGGATCTTGGGAGATATGAGGAAAAGGAGGTTGAGATGGCTTTACATTCCCTTTGTGAGATGCAGATATGTCTTCTTGTCTCCAGGTAAAGGGTGAGGTTAAACTGAGAGCTGACCTGGGATTTCACACTCAGATGGTCAGGAGGTCTCAGAGCTTCATAGTCACAGAGATACAGCTTTTACTGACTTACTGTTGCAGACATGCATCAACCAAGCCAAAAAAGTGATGCAATGCATAATATTTCAATGGGTAATAAAGATGTCTATTATGCATATACAGTACAGACCAAAAGTTTGGACACACCTTCTCATTTAAAGAGTTTTGTTTATTTTCAATAATATGAAAATTGAAGATTCACACTGAAGGCATCAAAACAATGAATTAAAACGTGTGGAATTATATACTTAAGAAAAAAAAGAGTGAAACAACTGAAAATATTTCGTATATTCTAGGTTATTTAGAGTAGCCATTTTTTGCTTTTATTACTGTTTTGCAAACTCTTGGCATTCTCTTGAAGGTCTGTACTGTACACACACAAACACATTGTACCATTAGAACACACACACATACACCTATGCAGATATTGCACCAAAAACCAGACATTTGCAGCTAGAATAGTCATTTACCACTTTCGCAATGTATAGAGTGTATTTCTTTAAAGTTAAGACTAGTTTAAAGTTTGTGGTCACATTATTTCAATGTGACCACAAACTTTTGAACGGTAGTGTATATATATATATATATATATATATATATATATATATATATATATATATATATATATATATATATATATATATATATATATATATATATATATATATATATATATGTAATTCAGACTTTTTTAATACTTCTCCTCAAAGAACACTGCTCTGTATGAGTCAGACATCTCCTAGCTATGACACACCAGATTTTGATTCCCAGCATTTAATAACCGTTAATTAATTAAGATGAAACATGCTATAATAAGAAAACATTTAAAACATCCAGGAAAGTGTGTCTTTAGGAGTAAGGTTGAAAAATATTGCCCTCGATGGTGCATAAAACCTACATCAATGAGACTCTAACTCCATCTACTGGTCAAAGAGAGTGAAGTGTGTAGAATATAATAGAACAGTACAGAATATATTAAATCTATCAGAAACTTCATTTTATAGCACTTTTAAAGAACAGGAAAAACTATATAAAAGCTACCTTGTAAGATGCAAGAATATTAAGACAAGATAAATTAACAATGCACATTAGTTTAAAGAGAAAAATGTGCATAATAAATAAAACTGATGGCATGAAGAGACTGTGGAGGAGGAGGAACCAAAATAACAAATCAAAACAGAAAGCCATAAGCATGGCAAAAACAATATTCTAATAGAAACTAAAGAATTACTCCAGGTTAAAACTACTGCTGTAGCTCACAAGTTTGTAGTTACTAGTTACATTTAAGATACTGTGCTCATAGGAGTAATTTTACAACAGTATACTCTTTACTTTTACCTGAGTAGAAATTTGCTGAAATATCACTACTCTTACTTGAGTAGTATTTTTGGCTACTCAATTGTGAGTAAATTCACTTCATGAAAACAATCTTGTTTAAAACAGATATGCACAACTGAGAGATACACTTTCTTCTTTTCTGATTTTTTTTTTTTTTACTTAAGGCTTATTGTTTAAATGTTATTTTCCATCTGATGAGTATCATTTGGATTTTTAATTTAAAAAACGTTTTTAATCACATTCTTTGAAGCCCCAGAATTTGCATACAACTTACTATTTCTTAAAATTGTGCATTATTTTGTGAAATATTAAATTAGTTGTTATTATCATGGGTAGTAAGTAGATCAGTAACTCTTTTTATCAAACCCTTTTTTACTCATACTTGAGTTATATCTTTAAAGGCTCCTCTTTAGTTTCACTTGAGTAAATATATGATGAAATAGTACTACTCTTAATTATTAAATTTTTGGGTACTCCACCCAACATCCAAAGATCAATTCACTACCTCTGAGCCAAAACCATAATGCAAGATCCAGATCTGACACGGTTTTATTAGAAATACTTGGATTAAGCAGAGATGAGTTCTTGTTGGTTTAGTGCTGGATTCAGACTTGAACCTCCAAAAGCATTTAAAGACAATTACAAGGTCGGCTTTCTATCACCTGAATAAATCTATAAATCCCTGAATGGCTTAGCACCTAAATACATCACAGACTTGCTATCAGTTTATCAACCCTCCAGACCACTCAGGTCTTCTGGCTCCAGCCTGCTCTGCATACCAAGAACCAGAACTAAACATAGAGAAGCAGCATTTAGTTCCTATGCTCCACTTATCTGGAACAAACTTCCAGAAAACTGTAAAAGTGCGGAAAGCCTGAGTTCCTTTAAATCAACACTAAAAACACATTTGTTTAGGATTGCCTTCGACTATTCTAGTTAAACAGTTCAACAAAAACATGTTTTCTTTAATCCAACTATTTTTAATATTCTTTTTTTGTTTCTGCATTTTTTATTTTATTTATTTTTTATTTTTTCCTACTTGCTTTGATTCTGTTTTATCTTCCTGTATTTTAATCATGTAAAGCACTTTGCATTGTCTTTGTACTGAATTGTGCTATACAAATAAATTTGCCTTGCCTTGCCTAATGAAAAAAAATGAGGCAGACATCCAAAAACACAAAATACAAAGGACCGAAAAAACAAAAAAGATGGGGGAAAACCCACGTAAGAAGCCAGAAACGAGAAAGCAATTAAAAACAACAACAAGGAACCTTCCAACAGTGACTGAACATGAGGTGTGTAAATGGGACACCGACCAAAGACCAGGCTAATCAGCAGATTGGGAGCAGGTGTGGACAGAGGAATCTAGAAAGGAGCAAGGGAAAAAGATACTTACACAAGAGGGCAAACAATACTATCCATCCATCCATTTTTCGTCACTTTTATCCCAAGCAGGGTCACGAGGGGTACTGGTGCCTATCTCCAGCTGTCTGCAGGCGAGAGGCAGGGTACACCCTGGCCAGGTCACCAGTCTATCGCAGAGCAACACAGAGACAAACAGGACAAACAACCACACACACTCACACCTAAGAAGAATTTATAGAAGCCAATTGACCTAACAGTCATGTTTTTGGACTGGCAAGAAGCTGGAGTACCCGGAGAGAACCTACACATGCACAGGGAGAACATGCAAACTCCATGCAGAGTGCTACCCACTGCTCCACTGGGCAGCCCACAAACAATACCTAAGAACTCAATTACAATAAAAAAAAAAACTACTAGAATATCACAAATGGAAATGAAACAGACAAACTAGAGAACACAGAAAAAACAGGAATCAAAGTATAACCGAAAACTCAAAAAAGAAATCTTAAACAGAACCAAAAAGTGCATACATGACATTATTCTTTTGGCAACAATTTTAGTATCTAATACTTTTAAACTTATACAATTAGAAAAACAACTATTCTAGAAATGTAATTTTATCAACACTTCATGTTAAAAAATACATATATTTTACACACTGTGACATGACATCTTTTTCAGACATCCATGGATGAAACAGTCACTCCCTACTGTGCAGGAATTTTAACAAGCAGGACTCCAGTTGATGAAGTGAACCTGACATCAATACTATGTTCATTCAAGTGAAAAAAGGTGAAAATGAGCTAATGAAGTAGCTTCTGTGTTCTTTCCTGAGCTGAGCTGTTCTGAGGCTCCTGCAGAAAATCTGAACTGTATTTAGAGAAATAAGAGAAATATGGTCTCTAAATGAATTAGACTTTTTTGCACTTGGACTAACAAAACACTTCAAGGGCGCAAGATGAAACAAAATCCCAGTGTGATAATTTTGAAGAATTGGCTCTCCTGCTGTTTGTGCAGCTGCTTCAACGCCACCCTGACCTTATCAGAGCCCAAAAGCCTTCAGGCAAGCCACGCACACACGTGCAGAAAAAAACCAAAAACATCACAGTACAGAAAAGTGTCAAGTGCTTAAACTGGTTTAATCACTTGCTAAAGCTTTGGAAGAGTGCTGGCTTTGTTTCCTGCATGCTGGGCGGATGAGAAAAGGGCCTATGAGGGAAGAACTGTTTGCTACAACCAGGGGGGGGAAGTGGAACAAGTTCTGGCCTGTGTGGTGTTCTCACAACACAGTTTCTAGACACATTTGCTTGGTGACCTACAGACGCACAAAAAAAATGGAGAGGACACAGATAAAGAAAGTGCAAGATAACAGGAAGACGGAGGAGGATGTGGTGCGCCTTCGGAGGGAGATTGGGCTGCTGCCTGCTGTGTCCTTCATCATTGGTACCGTGGTTGGCAGTGGGATCTTTATCGCTCCAAAGGGAGTGTTGATGAACAGTGGCAGCGTGGGGCTGTCTCTGCTGGTCTGGGCCCTCTGTGGCATCCTCTCCTTGTTTGGTAAGTTTCAGGAAAAGCTGTCCTTAGATCTAAGGTATCAAAATGTGACATTTTATTCAGAAAATAGAACACAGTGTTATTTTTCTGCTAAATAAGACAGAAACCAGTAGTATTGCTATCATCACAGTTTAAAGTCAGGTTCTGTTGCATCTCCACTGCATGAAGAACGGTTTGTTGAGAATGATGAGACACATTTACTCCATTAAAATTTGTTCTAATTTATTCCATAAAATACCTTTTTGCTTTGATGTGATGCTACGTGCCTCACTGCAAACCAGACTGTTTCTAACATTTTGGAAGTAAATCTTAAAATGTTTTTTTGCTTTTTTAACGTTTATTTAAATCTATTCAGAAAATTTAAACATTGAGGAAGAAAAACAAACAGAACAAAGCACTAAAACACACATTTTCCTTTTTCATTTTAGTTAGAAGTTTAAAAGTGACGGAAGCTGGATAAGAATTACATTCACATTTTTAAAAAATGATAAAAATAAATATATATATATATATATATATATATATATATATATATATATATATATATATATATATATATATATATATATATGTATATATATATAATGTTTTCTTTATTTATTAAGTAAAGAAAGTTATTTCTATTTAAACTGTTCCGAATATATATACACTTACTATACATAACTATTCATAATCAGTTACTGTATCCTTGTGTGTCCCTCGTCATTGTGCTTTTGTACCTATTTTACACAGTGTCAATGTTTAAAGCAACTGAATTTATCTGTATTTTACCTTTTTATTCATTTTTTAGCCGGAAAAAAAGATAGACAAGCAAATTGCAGTAAAAAAATCAAAGGTTCTTTTAGCTCTTAAATATGAATAGAATTACCTTGCAATGTAAACGATGTTTAGACAAAGGTTAGTTTCAGCAAAAATAAGCAACTGAACAAGAAACTGAACCATTCCTCCTTTTTCTCTCTCTTTCAGGCGCCTTATGTTATGCTGAACTAGGAACCAGTTTCACAAAATCCGGGGGTCATTACACTTATCTGCTAGAGACGCTGGGGCCCCTACCCGCATTCCTACGACTCTGGGTTGAGTTCTTATTTATAAGGTTCTATTATTTTTCTTTCTTTTTTCTTTGGAAGTCTGATCAAATAAAAATAATAGAATCCTATTGGAAAGAGTTAAAGTGTAACTTTTCTTTTTTCAGACCAGCTGTGGCGTCCTATGTCTCTCTGGCTTTTGGACGCTATGTTGTTGAACCTTTCTTTGCGCCTTGTCCCGCCCCTATGTCTCTAATCAAACTCGTCAGTATCCTCGGAGTGAGTGAGTGGTTTTCCACGCCTTTTTTTTCTAGTTTATATAAGAGTAATGTTTCCCATACAGTAGAGGCATAATTTGTGATTTGTGTCTTTCTAGCATTTGTTGTGGCAGTGAACTGTTGGAGCGTAAGCCTGGCCTCCCGCACGCAGGTTACCTTGACCTTTATTAAGATGTTTGCTTTGGTCCTCATAATTGTTCCTGGGGTCATGGCACTGGCCAAAGGTATGATGATGTAGGCGCTATTGTTTAATAAAAAGGTTGAGTTTCTGACAACTTCCTAATTTTTTTGACCCACCTTTACAGGTAAAACAGAAAATTTCCAGAATGGATTTGAGTTGGACTCCATAACCCTGGACAGGCTGCCACTGGCCTTCTATAACGGTTTATATGCATATGGTGGATGGTAAGTGAAGACTATTTACCGGCCCTTTAAGAGGGTGTTTGTATACTACTTCAGCGATAGTATCTGTATGTCTAGTACCATGTCTGTTGGTTGTGCTGTTCTTTTTACATCTCTTTGCAGGTGATGAAGCAGACTGAAAATGTTTTATCATTGTCTCCCTTTGATCTACTCTTTTTTTAATCTTTTCTCCTTTTTTTTCTGGTTTTCCTTTACTGTTCTACTAACATTGCAGTGTCCAAAATTATAATAAAGCTATTTACATGCATAAAACAAGCAGAACACTATGCGATAGCCCTACTGCTCCACTTGTGAAAGCAAAATCTGTTGGTCTCTTTTTTGGCATCAAGACAATTATTCTTATTGCAACATCGCCAGACAGGACACTGTAAAAAAAAAAAAAAGAAATAAAGAAATAAGAGCGTCTTTGTACACACGGAACTTTTTCATATTCTGTGAAGTTATAAACACAAATAATGATTTTATTTTATACATAACAATGAAGTGGGCGGATTCTTGTGTTCAAATCACTTTTATAGTTAAAAATTAGAAAATGTTGTCGTTTGTTTATACCCAGCCTGCCATACCCAGTAACATGTTAAGACACCATTTACAGAAATTACAGCTGCAAGTCTTTTCAATTCAATTCAATTCATTTCAAAAATATTTTAAATTAAAAGCTGTAGTAGAAATAGTTATTTTTGAGAAAATATTTACCAGTTTTGCACTTCTGCAGATATTTACACCATTCTTCTTAGTAAAAACTTTTTAGCTCAGTCAGATTAGATTGATGACATCTCCGTATATGAATTTCAAAATCTTGCTACAGATTCTAATTACATTTAAAATCTGCATTTTTATCCCAATTTTTCCACTGCAACATCTGGCTTTACAGTATGTTTCAGTTATTTTCTTGCTACATGGTAAAACAAACCTCTGAGAATAAAACCCTTTTGCAGCCTATATACAGTATGTCATTACCGGTAAATTATTTCTTTTTTTTACTGGTTTGAATGAAATAAAGTTATTAATTGTTTAATTAATTAATCAATTAATTCAAGGAATTTTCTTTACTCAATTATCCTGTGTATTTTCCAATTAATGCTCTCCTGTACTGTTAAGAAAAAAAATCTTAACAACACCAGCATTGAGTCTCAACAAGCAGAAATTGTAAAAAGGATTAATTTTAACCATATATTGCAAAGTTAAAGAGTTAAAACTTGGACTCATCAGACAAAACAGAATCTGTGTGCATAAGAAGTTGATTATTTCAGCGATGGCCTTCTTCTTCCCCTTTAAAAGTTTTTGGAGGTTAACACTAATAAAAAAAAACTGCAATTTGATTTTATGTAGGGCTTTCAAAGTAAAGTGGACTGAATACAAACACAAAATGCTTTTCAATGTTTTTATGTAAAAAAAAAAAATATATATATATATATATATATATATATATATATATATTCCTTATACTTGTGCTCTACGTTGTCATTGCTGGTTTGTGACGAATGTGAAAAGTATACTAGTATAAGGCCCAGTATATATCTTTGTGTTACCCACCTGTGTAAAAGTTTCTTCTTCTTCTCTTAGGTTTTATCTGAACTTCGTCACAGAAGAAGTAATAAACCCAAATAGGTACATGGTTTAGGTTTGTGCTTAAAATTTGCCTGAATTTTAATGTTTTTTTTTTCTACTCTGATTGTGAATCATATACTTTCAGAAACATCCCTTTGGCAATAATCTGCTCCATGGTGACAGTGACAGTGTTTTACGTGCTTGTGAATGTGGCCTACTACACCATGATGACACCCGCTGAGCTGCTGCTGTCTGATGCAGTGGCTGTGGTCAGTAGAGAAGAACATGGTTCACGGGGAAGGAATGTAGAGGGAATCTGGTGAAACAGCTGAGCTCTGATATAAGGTTGTCTTTCTGCAGACATTTGCAAACCGCGCTCTTCAAAGCGTTTCTTCTGTAATTCCTGTTCTGGTTGCTTTGTCTTGCCTTGGAGCTCTTAATGGCGGCTTCTTCGGGTCACCCAGGTATTTGGAGAACAAAATATTTGAGTTTCTCTCTGTGCAACATGAACTTCTGAGGTATCTGGTTGCAGGATGTTATTTGTTGGTGCCAGAGAGGGCCACTGGCCACCAATCTTCTCAATGATACATATCCGACGACACACTCCTTTACCTGCTGTACTGTTCTTGGTAGGTACTTCAAAAGAAAAAGAAAGCCTTAACTAAAAGTTATAACAATAGTAGGCAGTAATCTTCTAACTTCTGTCATATACCAACTGGAATAAGTACTATTCTAAGCTACTGGTTCTTATGAAGTAACCTGCTCACAATGTGAGATTTATAGTGTTGCAAACATCGTTCGTGATAAAATGGCTTACTTTTCCTAATTAAAATATTCAGAGTTCTTACTCCATTATGCTAATTTTAAAATATAGAAGAGACCATTTCAAACTAGATTATGACAGATATTTTTACAATGAAGAGGCTTTAAATATGGAACCTGCAGGTGGAGATGAAGGTAGGGAGAGTAAGATAGGTAGAGAACAAAAAGGAAGAGACAAAAAATGTTGGCTGGAAAGAGTTTAAGAAAGAAAAACAATGCTTTAAAAACATTTTCCTTTATGCCAGGAAATAAAAAGTTCTGATTTTATCACCTTTAACTATAAAACTACTTAAACTGTCTCATTTTCTAAAAATTTTATGTTTCTTCTCATTCTTTGAATATACTTTAATTTACACGCTCTACCTTTACATTGTTTTTTAATGATATATTCTCCCATCTTAAATTGTATTTCTGCATGCTAATTTAGTCTTTCTACTTCTTCCTCATATGCTTAAACAGGTTCATTTTTCAGTTTTTTCTTAAATAAAGCTATTTTCTTAATTTATAACTGTGTTTAGTGGACAAAGACAGACAGATTCTCACTACTTTGATGTCCATGTCTGATTAAGAAAATGCCATTGATATGCATGCTTCATCGCATGAGCTGCACACCCAGGAAACAGCAGTTAAGACTGTGAATCACCATTAGATGTAGTATTCTTATCCGGGATTAGCAGTCGTCTCCTGCGGAGTCAAACACTGCTACATTGAGCATGCAATACCTATTTTAAATTTCTTTTTAAAAAGATATAAAAGGTGCAGAAATTGAGGTTGTTACCATTATTTGGGGCTTGGCTGTAAATCTAATGATTTATAGCAGCTATCACTTTGCAGGTGAAAAGCCTTTTCAATTAAACACTCATTTTTCAAGCAGAGTCTCTCCCTAAAAGGCCTTGAATGTTTAATTTTTTGGTTTTTTTTCTGAAAAAATACAGGCTAAAGATGTAAAATAGAACATCTGTTTTGAGTTATTTTAATGAAGGAATAAACAAATAATTCTTTAAAAAAAAGTCAACTTTGCTGTCAGAGATTAAGAAGCTCCCAACACATGGAAGGAAAACACTCAGGAACCCTTTCCCAAAGAGTAAGCCTGTGATGAAAGCTGTATTGTGTTTGCCTCCAGTACCCATTGGTGGTGGTGATGTTAATCACAGGGGAAATCTACCAACTCATCAACTTCGCATCTTTTTCTCGCTGGTTCTTTATCGCCTTGGCAACCTTGGGCATGCTCATCCATCGATACCGCTTCCCCCACCACCCAAGACCCTTCAAGGTTAGTGTTTTTCTGAAGCCTTTTTTTTTTTTTTACCTTACAGTCATTTTTAAATCTCTCCTTCCTGTTGATGCGTTTAAAGGTCCCTTTGGCCATAGCGGTCACCTTCACAGTGGTTTGTTTCTTCATCGTGGGCCTCTCACTTTACTCGGACCCCTGGAACACAGGACGAAGCTGTGCCCTTACTCTAACAGGAGTGCCAGTTTACTATGTGACTATCCATCGCTTCTGGGTGCCCCGTAGATTAAGGAACATTTTCAGTAAGTCATGCCATTTATTGTTTACACTAATGCCACTAATTTATTTGCTGGAGAGTTAGCTTGATATTTAAGTATTTAATATCAAAGCTTGGTATAAAATGTCTCATCTTTCTTAATTTTTCTAGATTATTGCAGCAAGCAGCTTCAGATTCTACTGGAAGTGGCTCAACAAGAAGTCCAGACATACTGAAGATTGTTTTCCACAGACGATCCTCCTGTTTTTTAATCTGTTTAGAGTTTGAACTAAATAGTTTAAAACATAAAAAAGTATATATCTGAATTGCAAGTATATGCATTTAAAAATTCATTTGACAAGGAATAATAATTCTTCTGACTTTTCAGTCCCTTTTAGCAAAGTATAAACACAAAAATCACTACAAACTGTAAAAGTTTTAAAAACTTAATGATAATTTACCACTTATTGAGGTTAGGGAACTTTTTCCAGGGTTCAGGATTCAACAAGAGGTGTCAAGTAACTTAGTATTACTACTCAGTTGTTGTACTATTCCTGTATGTTTTAAATTGGGTATTTTTCTTTGCTATTTTTACACAAGTATCGTAGTTTTTAATCCTTACTTCCTCAATGCTGACTTGTTAGCGCTATATATGTATTGATAACATGATTTAGAAGGCTGCAACAAAACTGGTGGTGGGGTTAAAGGGCAATGAGAGTTGGAGCCGTTTGTTTGTAGAACATTGATAGCTACAGTACATGGAGGAATGCTGGGAAAGATTACAGATGATCAGATTCTGAGACACATTTCATATTTATGCCTCCTTTATTAGATTGTAAATATACATGTTGATTATCTTCCGAATGCTTATTTGCAACTTTATCCCTCTGAATACTAGACCCCTTTAAATGTATTTAGCTTCTTATGCAGGATTTCTGTTTAATTCAGCTTGTATTATGTTAATTTGGAGCAAAACTAGACGGAGTCGGTATCGTTTTATTTTCTCTATGAACACAGTGAGGAAAAAAAACGGAACATTATTCAAATGTTTGTTAATAGAACTGTTTTCTATTTGTGTCATTTAAGGCAAAAAAATAATTTTATTTTTGTACTTAAATGCAATATAGAACTGGTGCCTTTTTACATTTAGTTAAATAAAAGTAATATAAAAAAAATACATGTAAAGTATTTTTTAAGATTTTGCTCAAGCTGGGAAAATTTTTTTTTGCAGCCCTTCAGCATAATAAAGTTTAAGGTGGATCGGTCTGATCAATTTCTGTCTGTACAGTTAGAGAAATCATATAGAAAAGACTAAAAGTCATGAGGATCTAAGGGATTTATTGTATTAAAACATCAGGAAACCATCTTACTTTAAAAACAGATGTTTAAAGCACTGAATCTGACACGATATAAAGAGTTAAGACAACCCAATTTACCCAAGGTAAATATACATGTTGATTATCTTCCGAATGCTTATTTGCAACTTTATTCCTCTGAATACTAGACCCCTTTAAATGTATTCAGCTTCTTATGCAGGATTTCTGTTTAATTCAGTTTCCTCAACACAGTGAGGAAAAAAACGGAACATTAATCAAATGTTTGTTAATAGAACTGTTTTCTATTTGTGTCATTTAAGGCAAAAAAAAAAAAAAAAAATCAGTTTATTTTTGTACTTAAAGGTACACTATGCAACCGGTGTTGATTTTCCAGTGAGGCTCCCCCCAGAGGGCGAAAGTAAAAGTGCACTGTCGTAAATATGCACAGCTGTTCTCCTGGTTTCTCCGTCAAGCCAGGCGCGGTTGTTTTGAGCTTAGCAGCGAATGACTAACGCTGCGTTCACACTGGACGTAGCTGGCGCGACAGAAGCAGCGAGTTTACATGCAAAGTCAATGGTTGACGCGCGTCAAGGCGCAGCAAAAGGTCCAGCGGCGCGTTTTGAGCACCAGGCGCAGCACGTCTGAGCAGCTGAAGCAGCGCGTCGGGTGCGTTTAACGCAGGGAGAGAGACACAGCGCTGATGATCACTCCTCTTAAACAGTTTATTGACGCCTAAATTAACTTAAAATGCAGAAATCTGCCGGCAGAATATGCAGTTTGGGTTATCTAGATGAAAAACACCTACCAGCTGCCGCGGTGAACCGCTGCTGATGAAGGGATCCATACTGTCGGCGCCCCGCTGGTATGTGGGGGTCTGAGCGGCTCCGACAGAAAAAATATTGAAGGCAGGATAATAATCTGAATGAACTGACTGCACTGATTACGTTTTCAGGTGTATTTTCTCACTTAAACACATATTAAAACTACTTTATTCCCACCGATCACAGCAAATATAGCTGCAAGGCAGAGAAAGGATAGTGAAGCTCCGCCCAACGCGCGTCAGACACACTTTTGCACCCCGCAGCCAGAGCAGCAAAGCTGCTTCAGCCGCGCGTCAGAACTAACTGGTACAAGCAGCAAAAATGAAGCAGCAGACACGATTTTGCTGCTTTTGCTGCGTGAACGTAGCATAACTGCACAAAGATCGCCACTGTGCTAGCAACGAGAATGCTTTTAATGGGGGCGTGTAGCAGTTCTCGCCGTAAAGCAAGACTGACTCTCACGAGACTTCTGAGCCTGTGGGTGCGGGTCGGTGCTCCTGCAGTTGCAAGTGCAGTATTTCCCCCACAGACCACCAGGGCGGCCGAGAATACCTTTGTTCAACCTGAAATGACTCATTTAGTCATCCATAACGTTATGGAACACATTAATTAACTGAAAAATGTTGCATAGTGTCCCTTTAAATGCAATATAGAACTGGTGCTTTTTTACCTTTAGTTAAATAAAAGTAATATAAAAAAATACATGTAAAGTATTTTTTAAGATTTTGCTCAAGCTGGGAAAATTTTTTTGCAGCCCTTCAGCATAATAAAGTTTGAGGTGGATCGGTCTGATCAATTTCTAGATGCACAACACTTTCTGATCCCACATTGAAAAGTCTGTATAGTTAGATAAATGATATAGAAAAGACTAAAAGTCATGAGGATCTAAGGGATTTATTGTATTAAAACATCAGGAAACCATCTTTCTTTAAAAACAGCTGTTTAAAGCGCTGAAACTGACATGATTTAAAGAGTTAAGACAACCCAACGACCCCTTTTTTTAAAAGCACACATTATTTTGTGGTTAAAAATATGTGAAGAATGTCCTTCAAAGATTGGTGAACATCAACACTCAATATTCTGCATTCCTTAAATGAGCTGTTTACATAAATTCCTCTGTTTCAGATACAAAGTGCCCTTCAGCTGCTAAGAGCCCATCAAACAGTAATTACAGTGAAGATTTCTGAAAACAACAATCATCACAGACAATCCTATTGCTGTTAGTGCTACTTTTAATACTTTTTATTGCTGGTCCAATATTGGGTTGCAAAGCACAGGAACCCAATAAAACAAAAAGTACTCTAAGTGATCAGACAAACTATTACACGACTAAAACAGTATAACATATATTATGATGTGCAAATCAACATTTATATACACTTAAATATTTCTCTTCCCATACAGCTCTTTAAAGCAAGTTATACAGAGTAGATAAATGAAAGGAAAATTGACAGAAATAACAGGTCAGTAAAGCTCTTAATCTGACCTGCTCACTAAAACTGACCCTGGGGTTTTATTAAGGAAGTAAAGCAGGAAGAATCAGCTAAAAAGAGCAAAGCACGTGTGAACACCAAAAAATAGACAGATTACTGAGAGCAGCCTTTTTTATGCAGCCAGTTGCTAATAAAAAGCTCAATTAAACTACATTTATCAGCATAATTGATCTTGATAAAGCTGGTATCTGTTGAATATTATCTGGTATCTGCAGAATCAATAAATTATAGTTGCACAGAAAAAATAAGATTAAAAACAAACATTTTGAGGTCTATCACGCCTCTAGACTGATATAAACTTTTCAAAACATCAAAGACTGAACATATAACCCACACAGTAACCAGTTTAAAGAGTCCAGTCAAGAGCATTAAAGAAGTAGGTTTGCTTTGCTGAGGAAGTCTGCGTGTGCTTTAGTGTTCAACAACAGGTTTTTATGGTTTTAGCCACAAGGCTAAACAAACTGACCGAGAAACTCGGACAAGCTGATGTTAGCAATGCCCAGGTCTTCGTCGTCGAGGGCAGAGAAGCTAATGTCCACCAGTATCTTGCTCAGGCTGTCGTTCAGGGTGTCCAGGATGAGGCCCTCTGTGATGGAGCGGTTAGACGACGGGGCGCCTGGAGCTCCTGCATGCTGCAGCTCAGAGGGGGGATCTGATGGCGGCACTCTGCAGGTAGCATGAGTGAGCAGCTCCCTGGGGGAACTGAACAAAGGCAGCTCTTTGAATGGAGTGCTGTTGAAGCTGAAGGTGGTGTAGTCCCGTTGGGGCGTGACTACTGGACCACCCGGTGTGCGAATGGGGCTGAAGTCGAGGGTGCTCTGCCCACCTTTTCCCACGGGGGTCACCTTCCAGGGTTCGAGAGAGACACTAGGTGGAGGCTTGCTTGGGGTGGAGGAGCTGAGGTGGCTGTGGCTTTTTATAGGGGTTTTGAAGTAAAGTTCGCGCTCAGGACTGCTCTTTATGTTCTTCTGCTCGTTTGGATCAGATTCTCTCATGTCCTGGAAGGTGGAAGCATCTGAAGCAACACCGGAGTCAAAGAAGCTGTCATCCGGACAGACGAGGATGGGCTCTTCTTGCAGAGAGTTCACTAGACTCTGTTTGCGCCTGGACTGTCTCTTCGGAGAAGGTCTGCATGTCTCACATTGGATTGGAACATTTACAGGTTCCACCTTCAGATTGTTCAGCAGAGGTAGAGCCACAGCCGGGGTGTTGCTCTCTGTCACCTGTCAGACAATCATAGAGTGGAACATATGACTTATATTCACAGGGAAAATAGGATACAACCAGTTCCTACAGGGTTTTAATATGAAAAAAATAAAACCCTATTTTTATTCTCCTCAGACTTTGCTCTCGGTCATTACACTGGAAAAAATCAAAATCTAGATAAGTCATTCTTTCTTAAAATAAGTGCATTTATTCTTGGTTTGAGGAGGTAAAAGAGACACTTTGCCAATGGAACAAGACAATTAACATTTACAATAAGAAAACACAATTGCATTGTCTTATTTCAAGTGCATATTATCTAATTATCTTATTTTAAGAGTAAAAATACTCATTCCATTGGCAAATGATCTCATTTACCTACCTACAATATTTATGGTGTTATGTAGTTTGTCCTATAAGTATATAAAGTATCTGCTAATAAATAAAAGTTGCACTGAAAAAAATCAAAATCTAGATAAGTAATTTATACGTTTTTTCTTAAAATAAGTGCATTTGTTCTTAGATTGAGGAGGTAAAAGAGACATTTTGCCAATGGAACAAGACGATTTCCTTAAAATAAGAAAACACAATTGCATTGTCTTATTTCAAGTGCATATTATCTAATTATCTTATTTTAAGAGTAAAAATGCTCATTCCATTGGCAAATGATCTCAGTTACCTACTCAAATTAAGGGTAAATACACTTAATTTAAGAAATTTTTGCTTATTTCTAGATCGTTTTTCCAGTGTACGGAATTCATGCACTGCAAAAAATGTTAATCTAAGTTAGTAATTATTTCTTAAAATAAGTGGATTTTTTCTTAAATTGAGCAGATAAGTGAGGCACTTTCCCAATGGAATAAGACCATTAACATTTAAAATAAGAAAAAACAACTGAAGTCTCTTACAGGATTTCAAGTGCATAATATCTAATTATCTTATTTAAAGGGTAAAAATGCTCATTCCATTGGCAGATCATCTTATTTACCGGCTTAAAATAAAGGTATTTTAAGACATTTTTACCGTACTCATTTGTAGAATGTTTTTGCAGTGTGGTAGATATTTCAGTTATGCAGACCACGGAACAGCAAAAACCAGAGAGGTGAAAAGGGGCATAAAAAAGAATGACAGATGGAAAAAGGATGGGTGAAATAAGACAGGTAAAGACATCTAGACAAAAGAAAGGACAGGAAAAAAGTAGAAGGAATAAAAATGCAAACAGTTGAAAAGGAAAAACACAAAGATGGGACAAGGACAGAAAAGAAAGAAGATGAAAAGGAAGGAGGATAGAATGATACTCAGAACTGAACTGTACAGCATGACTCTAACCAGTTTTTCAGTAGTTTCACCTGCCTAAGGCTGTACCTTTGGTGCTATGCGAACTCTCTTTGTCCCCCGTGAAGCATTTTGTTTGTGCTTTAAGCCAGTGGAGCCAAAAGAACCAGACGAGGCTGGCAGACAGGCAGAGGGGGTGATGGGGAGCTGGATGGGAACCAAGTAAGCATCGGTACGGGGGAGAAGCGGTTTCATCTTCCTCTCTGACAACAACAAAAACAAAACCATTGGATTAAAACTGAGAACATCAGTACTCTAAAAAAAAAAGTAAAATCCTGTTTATTGTGCAACTCACCAGAGGAAGTGGGTGTGCCAGCGGCGATGTACTTTTTCTTTGACTGTGAAAGCAAAACGACTGATTATTGCCGAAGCAAAGCTGACTGTTTTTGTCAACGATGATGACGAAATTATTTTGTTGACAAGCTAAACATGAACCTCTGACTTCACGACTCAGGGTTGTGAGTTTTTGTGGACGGGATGAGACTAAATAAAAACGTTGGTGGTGATCTGTCGGACGTTTAAAATGCATCATGGTGCTGTAATCTGTTAAGCAGTATCAGCTCTGCTGCTGCATCCTGTTTGGTCACGCAAACCTGGCGTGCAGCGGTGCATTCTGCATGACCAAAGGTGGATTAAGCTGTTCTTGTTCCAATTAGAATATTTCAACATTTTAGATAAAATATTGGTGAAATTTAGGTCCAGATTGCCATGGCATTATAAGGCAATTTTGTAGGCTCTCTCTTTATTTTATTTTTTATCCCTTCTAATTTAAATCTACTTTGACCCCTGAGCAGCGTAGAAAGTAGAAAGATGAATGTTTTTGTTCTTCGTGTTTTTGGAGTAATGAAGATCTTATTGATCTGCGTGTAATTCATAATTCATAGTAGATCATTAAGTATTTGCTTTTGGATAGAAGCCTTGTATGTCTAAGACCTTTCCTTTATTGTACATTTTGTTAACTTGTCTGTCTGATATTTTAACCAATATAATGTGCTGAACTAGATCTGCTATTTTCACAACTTTTGAGACACTTTTTTTTTTATAAAGTAGGGCATAAATTCATAAAAAATGATTATTTGAATTATATTTGAGTTTAAGTCAACTGAAACTGACTAAAACTATCACATATAGTAATGACTAAAATGTGACTTTAACTAATGAGTTTTCGTTCTGAAGACAATAACTAAGACTAAATCTAAGACGGCTGTCAAGAACGAAACTGCATCATTATTACGTTTTCTATGAAGGATAAACATCAGGTTGGAGCAGAAATTGTAAAATGAAAGAGGAAAGGTAATTTGAAAGACTGTAAAGTGTGGCATTCATTTTCTATTTAACCACCATAGGGAATGTAAGGACAAAGAAGGATTTTAATATGGGTGTAAAAATATTTATTACAAATGCATGCCACACTTTTCAGAGACCCAGTTGAAAATTCAAAATGCTGAAAATGAAACCGTGCTATTCTATTATCAGACACTACTTTAGATGCTTGTTATAACAGCACAAAAACTTGCAGCTTAAGGCTTTCAAGGCAAAGTAGTTTCAAAGTGTTTGTTCCCCAGACAATCAGGGAGTGTTGGCTTATTGGGTTAGAGCAGGGCGCTTGTGCTCTGAGAAGGTTGCAAGTACCCGGTTCGATCCCCACAGCCTGCACTCTGGGTCCCTGAACATTACCTTTAACCCCTGATTGCTCCCCAATGGCAGCACACTGCTCCCCAAGGGGATGTGTCAAAATGCAGAAGGGAATTTCTCAATTGTGAGATCAATGATGTTCAACTACCATTATTATTATCATTATTTCAACATCCAGCTGCTGCTAAACCTAAAATCCAAAAGCATAAGTTATTAATCAGCTCTTAGAACACATTAAACCTTTGACTTTTGAAGTGCTGCTTAGCTCTCTACCGCCTAGCTGTGGAGTGAAAACAGTTCCTCAAAAACCGAAAAAGGTGAATCAGTCTTACTTGGTGGGTACATGAACGCTTAGGCCCGGGAGAATGAACGGTCCCTGGATTGCAACAGGGCTACGGAAAGAGCAAAAACTCAACATTTAGTTGCATTGTAAAAAAAAAAAAAAAATGGAGATGATGATGAGGGGAGAAAAATGTGAGGGAAGATAGTAAAGAAACATTTAAAAAAAAAAAAAAATCCAAAATTCTATAGATTTGTGTTGTTGTTACAGTTATACTCACTCTGTAAACCTGATCAAGAGTCAGGCATCGATTAAAATCTGGCCGAATGGTCCAGTAAGAGGTTTTCCCGTCTGGCGACCGCTCGCGGATGAACATGTCATGCAGAGAAAGATTGTGCCTTATGGAGTTCTGAAAAGGAAGAAAGCCAATGAAATCCCTCAGAGCGCCGCCTTGAGATCCACTCTATTGTCAACACAGCTTCTCCCTGAACCACCTTCCATCCTGGCTTGGCCACTTCTCTGTAATAAGGGAAATGGTCCTCGATCCATGTGTAAATTTCCTTTAGAGTCATCCCTCTGTTCTGCCTGCTGTTGATTGCAAACTGGATCATGGCTGTGTAGGAGTACGGCGGCCTCTCTAACGCCGGCCGAGTGTTTTCTGTGTTTGATTTTGTGCTGTGGGCCTGAAAAAGGACATGAAATATTTGGTTAAGAACATTATTTCAAATGTTTGCTTTTTGTTTACATCTTCAATGACACGTAAATAACTTATGAGATAGGATCACTGGAGTAACATTTAGGGGTCCCGATTGTTAAAAGTAATACAATAGGTCCAGACTTAAACATTCAGATTTGAGTCACCCCCCCCCCACAGAAGTGATAACAATTAAATAATTAAATGTACTGCAGTAGCTCATGTTTAAAATCAATATGAACCCAAAGAAATGCGAAACAATAAACCAGACTGTTTAAAGTAAATGAAAAGCAGAAGGCCACATTAGTCTTATTAAATGTTGCCTTTTGAATTAATAAGGGGTCACAAGCTCCAAATGTTTTTTGTTGCAAGGTTTTATTTATGTAGGTGTACATTTCTATTTAGCAATGCTTAAAAGAAGGATAAACCTTTTTTTTTTTAGAAGGCTGTGTGAGTCAGCAGAACATTTTTTTAAAAGTCTACATGTCTTTAATGCGGCTTTACACGTTACTCTGAAACCCCGCTTCTGATACCTACATAATCATATTCAATATATCAAGATACACTCAAGTTTGAAACAGAAACTTGATATGATATGAATTAGAAACTCACCGTTAGTTCCTGGGGTTTTTGATCAATGCTCTCCTTTTCAGCACTGTCATTTGCAAGATGAGGTTCCAAGGAACTTGTGTTCATTTTTCCCAACCACTGGATATTGGTGAGGCTGTCATCTAGAGGACTGCTACTTCCATCTAAATTCATTGTAAAAAAAAAAAAAGAAACAATATATTTTTTTTGATCAACAACTTAATTAGATTATAGATTAAGATTATTGTTAAGGGTAATACAGGATTAATCATACGTGACTGAATTCCAGTGAGAGGTAAATTGTGGGTACGCTCCATTTTCTCCTGTTTAATTTTTCTTTTAGAAGTAGACGGCTGCTCCTGTTTAACGGCCTGGTGGAAAGATCCGTGGTCCCCGCTGCCAGCCTCACTGAGAAGGATGAACTTATTTGGGCCTTGGACACCACTCTCTTTTCCCTTTGCAGTCAGGGCACCGATGATGCTTTTTAGATCAGCCTCTTTGGGGATGACAACCACCTGCGTGTTAGACATTAATGGGTGATCCATGATGGGAATACCATGAGGAAAGCACTGGCCGGCGGCTGATTTAGGCGCCTCCCTAGCGCCTGGTGCCAAGGACTGAACGGGTTTGTCAGCTGGAGTTGGATCATTTTGGTGGAACGGTAATTTTCTTCTTTTTAGGATCAGGGGTCTCCTTGGGCTCCTTCTCATGGTCAGCTCACTAAAATTGCCCTTCACTGGATTGCTGTGAAGGACAACAGATGTATTTACTTATTTATACACACACACACACACATATATATATATATATACATATATATATATACACACATATATATGTATATATATATATACATATATACGTATATATATGTATATATACATGTATATATATCTAAAAATATGTATATAAATATATACACACACACAAGTATATATATAAATATATACACACACACAAGTATATATATGTATATATACACACACACATAGATAGATAGATAGATAGATCTATCTATATAAATATAAACATGTATATATATGTAAAAATATGTATATAAATATATACACACACACAAGTATATATATAAATATATACACACACACAAGTATATATATATGTATATATACACACACACATAGATAGATAGATAGATAGATAGATAGATAGATAGATAGATAGATAGATAGATAGATCTATCTATATATGTATGTATATATAAAGAAACACATATTTATAAAAAAATAGGGTTAGGGTACATTTTATAACGACTATATATCATTATTTGCATATCCCTCCTAGAATCAGCTGTTGATCAACGTCTATTTAAACCACCAAAAAACAACAAAAAATAACTAAATTACCGTCGAGTTAAGCGGGGTAAGCGCAGGCTGGCTAAAAGCCGATCTCCATTCATTTAACTCGTGTTATAACCTCTTAATAACCAACGCTACGCGTTACAATAATCAAACGAAATAAACATTCACATTAGACGTACCCTTCCTTTGTCGCTATATCGTCTTAATCGTCGGTTAATGCAGCTGCATTTCTCATTGTTTGCTAAGCGACCGTCGCCTTCTAGAACAGCCGTTTGACATTTTCATAACGTTGGATTTGAACACGATAAAGCTAATAACTGGATAAATTGTTAATGCGCACAATGAAATATTCGGGAGGATTTCTTAAAAAAATCGGAGCACTGATTAGCATCTGTCAGTGTAGCATTGAAACGAAACAAACCTTCATACTACTGCAAAGTTTCAGGCGACTTCATTTGGCTGGTCCCCGAGTCAAACTTCAAACAGTTCCTTCATTATTTTTTCACAACTGTAATGATAATTTATCTATAACAGTTTAGAAAACCCTGTCATAAAGTGTTATTTACATATTGCCTACTCCGTTCAAAGACGTTTTGAATTTTGGCGCTGTGGGCGCTGTCTTCTTCCGTCACTCTAACCATGTGATAGAATTGACCAATAAGAGGACAGGATAACCCGTCGCTAGATGGCAGTAATGCACTGCAGGTAACGATGGACACGCTAATCGAAGCCAACGAAGAAAAAGAAGAAAACCGGGAAATACAACAACCCATAACAAGGAAACAAAGAATTGAAAGTAGGGAACATCCATCCATCCATCCATCCATCCATCCATTATCTTACACGCTTGTCCCAATTGGGGTCGCGAGGGGTGCTGGTGCCTATCTCCAGCAGTCAATGGGCGAGAGGCGGGGTACACCCTGGACAGGTTGCCAGTCCATCGCAGGGCAGTATAACTGTTTAGGGAACATGCATTTTATAAATGTTTTGTGGTATATTTATATAATGTAAATTATTTCTTAGGTGAAAGACCAACTATACGGTTTAGCAGCGTACTTTACGCTCTAAATGAAAACATCGTATACTTTTATTGACATTTGTCTATGTTTTTCTTTTTTTTTATGTATCTTTAATAGACTAACTTTCGGTGACTTATCTACCTATAGATGTTCTGGAATGACTTTCATTAATGCCCCGAAAAGCCACGAAGGCAGACAAACCTGCATTGCAATTCCTCGAGCGGCCTGTGGGTGGCAGCAGACTTCAAAATGTGCCTGAAGTCCGAGCTGCAGTCAATCCCAAGGATTTCTTCTCAGAGACACAAACACGCGACTTTTCAGAAATCTGTTCATGGGTAAGTTCTTCAAGTTTATGCTAAAACTCTATAAAAGTTTGTGGTGAGAAAGAAAAACACATGAATACCAAATTCTAACACACTATTCTTTATTCATCTCACAGTTTGCAGCCTTCTACAGGTGCTGGTCATAAAATTAGAATATCATGAAAAAGTAGATTGATTTCAGTAATTCCATTTAAAAAGTGAAACTTGTATATTATATTCATACATTACATACAAACTCATATATTTCAGATGTTTATTTTGTTTAATTTTGATGATTACAAATGACAACAAATGAAAATCTCAAATTCATCATATCAGAAAATTAGAATATTACTGAAGACCAATAAAAACAAAGGATTTATAGAAATGTTGGCCAACTGAAAAGTATGAACATGAAAAGTATGAGCATGTACAGCACTCAGTATTTAGTTGGGCCTCCTTTGGCCTGTATTACTGCAGCAATGCGGCGTGGCATGGAGTCGATCAGTCTGTGGCACTGCTCAGGTGTTATGATAGCCCAGGTTGCTCTAATAGTGGCTTTTAGCTCTTCTGAATTGTTGGGTCTGGTGTATTGCATCTTCTTCTTCACAATACCCCATAGATTTTCTATGGGGTTAAGGTCAGGAGAGTTTGCTGGCCAATTAAGAACAGGGATACCATGGTCCTTCAACCAGGTACTGGTAGCTTTGGCACTGTGTGCAGGTGCCAAGTCCTGTTGGAAAATGAAATCTGCATCTCCAAAAAGTTGGTCAGCTGCAGGAAGCATGAAGTGCTCTAAAACTTCCTGGTATGTGGCTGCGTTGACCCTGGACCTCAGAAAACACAATGGACCAACACCAGCAGATGACATGGCACCCCAAACCATCACTGACTGTGGAAACTTTACACTGGACTTCAAGCAACGTGGATGAAGTGCCTCTCTTCTTTTCCTCCAGACTCTGGGACCTTGATTTCCAAAGGAAATGCAAAATTTACTTTCATCAGAGAACATGACTTTGGACCACTCACCAGCAGTCCAGTCCTGTTTCTCTTTAGCCCAGGCAAGACGCTTCTGACGCTGTCTGTGGTTCAAGAGTGGCTTGACACAAGGAATGCGACAGCAGAAACCCATGTCTTTCATACGTCTGTGTGTGGTGGTTCTTGAAGCACTCACTCCAGCTGCAGTCCACTCTTTGTGAATCTCCCCCACATTTTTGAATGGGTTTTGTTTCACAATCCTCTCCAGGGTGCGGTTATCTCTCTTGCTTGTACACTTTTTTCGACCACATCTTTTCCTTCCCTTCGCCTCTCTATTAATGTGCTTGGACACTGAGCTCTGTGAACAGCCAGCCTCTTTAGCGATGACCTTTTGTGTCTTGCCCTCCTTGTGCAAGGTGTCGATGGTCGTCTTTTGGACAACTGTCAAGTCAGCAGTCTTCCCCATGATTGTGTAGCCTATAGAACTAGACTGAAAGACCATTTAAAGGCTTTTGCAGGTGGTTTGAGTTAATTAGCTGATTAGAGTGTGGCACCAGGGGCCATCAATTTTGAACCTTTTCACAATATTCTAATTTTCTGATATGATGAATTTGAGATTTTCATTTGTTGTCATTTGTAATCATCAAAATTAAACAAAATAAACATCTGAAATATATGAGTTTGTATGTAATGTATGAATATAATATACAAGTTTCACTTTTTAAATGGAATTACTGAAATCAATCTACTTTTTCATGATATTCTAATTTTATGACCAGCACCTGTATAGTAAAATCACAAGCATTAAAGGAAAAGTCTGGTCATATTCAGAATTCAAACTTCTGAAAGTACTTAAAATATGAAATTATTACATACTGTTCAATAAATAAGTGTTTCTAATTAAGAGTAATTTTCATTTGAATGTGCTTTACTGGAGGCATCCATGTTTGTCAAAGAACACTACTGCCACCTACTGGTTTGTGATGTCACAGTGTGGTATCGGCTGTTGATCAAGTCCCAGTGCTGTATCTGGTGTTTGTCACTACTAGTGTTGCACGGATGCCATTTTTTGGCCCTGATACCGATATCATCTGTTTGAAATTGATGTGTGTGTGTATATATGAAGAACTGCATACTACTTGGATGTAAAATAATTGCCATCATGGCTTTGTCAAGCTGCTGCCTACCTTTGTGAAGTAGGAAAAAGACTAATACAAAGTGAATCCTGTAGAACTTTTTATTGCCTACCTTGAATGGGTGAAAATAGTTCAATAAAGTTTTGGCTCTCAAAATGGCATCGGTGCCCTATTTGTCAGTACTCGCCGATACTGATACCAACATTTTTGTGCTGGATCGGGGCCCGCCCGATACTGGTATCGGTATCTGTGCAACAATATGTTGGCTACATATTACGTGTTTTTTCTCTGGCCAGAAGTTCGATGGCAAATCCTCCCTCTTGAAGTTGGCAATCCAACGACAAACCCGTCCGTGGAGGATCAGGAATTGGAAAACGGAAATAATTTTTTTTTTCTTCACCTTTTCCCGATGTATTCAGACATCCAGCTGCCATGCACGTGGGCATTGTCAGTTTCACTATAGCTCTGGTGAATTTCAATGGTGAAGTCCTCTGGAAATCTTCAATAACTGTTGTGGATTGCAGATGTGTCTAGTAGTTCCCATTGATTTTGATTGTAAAGCGGGAAGAATGGCGCTAGGCTTACCGCACCGTGATGTCACTGCCGGAAGAAGTCAGGAGTGAGGTGTTGCTATATTTTGACAAAAATCGCCGCTGCTAGACTCAGTGATTTGCGTCAAAAATGACTATGACTATTTTTATTTTTTTTTCTAAATTCATTAAATCAAAGCGAAATTATTAGTTTTACCTATAGATAATGATCCATTGATTATTCCTTGCTGACCGGACTTTTCCTTTAAATTAAATAGAACTCTGTAAAAAGTGGGATGATCTTAGAGTTTACAGTTAGCGCATTTACTTTAATAAATCTGTGCTCTAGGTCAAAATGTTTTGCCTACATGTACTGCTGTGGAGGTATACCCCAGGCCTGGACAAGTATAGATTTTTTTATTTTTTTGCAATTAGATTTTATTCTATTTCCAGAACTCAATGCATACATCAGCAGGTCACCAATCTAAACATCTAGTTATCGGTCTGTTATGGGCACCCAGCAGTAATGCAGCAGCAGTTTTTACACAAAGCAGGTTACATGAAAATATACTGCTAATGAAATTCTGAAAACAAAATGACATTGAACAATCAAAAACCATGTTGGAAAAAGCATTCATTTTAATGATGTCCTTTTCCCTACTGCAGGGGAAGTGACCACTGCGCCATTTCAAATTTTAGGCTTTAAGATTAAGGAAAACAATTTTCTGTAATTTGTGGAAAACTATATTAAAAAAAAGCAACATTTATCAAACCTAAATCTATTTATATTATGTTTCAAGTCAATACATTTTGGACATTCAATGCAATAGTCAGTGGAGAAAATGCTAAGACATTTATTTTTAATATATCTATGCCCTAGTGGTTAGGGCATAGAGCTTGGAATCCTGAGATTCTGAGTTTGAGCCCCACTCCCACGGACTGCCACTCTGGGTCCCTGAGCAAGACCCTTAACCCCACACTGCTCCCTGGGCGACACACAATGGCAGCCCACTGTTACCCATAGGGATGGGTTAAATGCAGAGACAAATTTTCTCCAATGTGAGATTAATAAAGTTAAATTATCAATTAATTACCGTACTAATTTGAATTAAAAATACATTTTAAAACAGTTAATTTCGTTGCTCCGTACTTGTGACAGTGTAATGATAAAAGCTGGAAATTTAGCAGAGTCGTTATCATTCTAGCTACACTAATTTAGGGCCAGTGTTGAGTCTCTAAAGCATAAGAGGTTGCAGACCCCTGCCCTAATGTGTCTGATTTTTTTCAGGTTTCATATATATATATTTACAAACATCGAGGTATCATCTATAACCTTATAGCAAACAGGGTTCTTTGGAAGCATCTATAATGGTACAGAATCTGGGCATTCTTAATTTGGTGAAAAAGGTTGTGAAAGACCATAGCAAAGTGTTTGCAGGAACCCTGGTGATCCTGTAGTTGCATAGAGTTACTAAACCTCTACTTTTGTCATTCATTTGGCTCACAGTGCTTTTAATATTTTAGGTAGACCCACAGTTTACCAGCTCAGCTGCAGCTGTGCCTCCAAGAAGACGAGGGAGGAGACAATGGCAGACTACCACAAACCTACTTGATCAATGCAGTCAGCTTTCCAGAAACAACAGCACATCCAAATATCCCTCACTGTCATTTAGCGTCCGGTCGAAGGACCAGCTTCAACAACAACCACGAGCCAGAACAACAAAAAAAGGTGGAGTTTTCCAAGTGAAGAATCAAGCTCCTCAGTCCGCTTGCCGCAGCAGAAGGAGCGTATTGAACGGAGGTTACTCAGACATCCCAAGAAAGCAATTTGTCAAAAAAAGGAATGCAAAAAAACTTTCTGAGGGTGCTGCTTCTCAGATTAGAAGTTCGGAACAAGGATGCATAATTCCAGCAGAGGGAGCCACAACACCTGCCTCCTCCAAGTTTATATCCACAGAGATGAACAGTGATTGCCCTCCTCCTGATGTGGACACTCCAGAAGTTCCTTCAAAAGGGGAAGATTATTCCTCCTCTTCCCCTGGGTATATAATGTTTGCTCTACCATGCACGACACCATGCAGCAGCCCACCTGGCTGCTTGGTGGCTGATACACCCGAGAGGGATTATGGGGTGAAGGTGACATGGAGGAGAAGAAAGGGTTTGATGTTGAAGTTAAAAGAAAGGGGTTATCTTTCTGAATCAGATGCACTAATTCATTGTTAATATGTATATTTTTTGGTTTGTTTTACTTTTTTCTTGTAGCAAATACATTTTTGTTACTCCAATTAAAAAGAATGTTCTCCAGAGCAGTGTTTCCCAACCTTTTTTTGACTTGTGAACCCCTTTTGGCATTTTGTCTTACCATGAGTAACCATCTCAGTCAAAAGTATTGATGACTGTCCAAAAGTGGAATGTACAAAACTGTACAATAACTTATAAAGAAAAAAATCATATCATTTCATCTTTTTAACTTTCATTCTTTGGAATTTTATTCTTTCCAACTCATATAAAAAACAACAAATATTTTTTCTTGGAAGCTAGTAAGGAATCAATATAAGTACAAAATAAAATCATACCATAAATCTGCCTCTATAAAACTTCCTTCTCTGAGTAACTCCTTTATAATCACATTTAAACTTGAGGAATTGGAAATAAAATACTGAACAGTTATAGTCAGACTGACTGCATTTATTTTACATTGTTTGCTTTGATGGGCTCCAATAGCTCAGTGTGAAAAACTGCTTTTAACCAGGCTGTTCCTATGCTTGGTTTTGACGTGTGTCAAAGTTGAAGGGGAAATCAAACATATGGGGATAACTTACTTTTTGGTTGAAAAATGCTTGTTTTATTTTTCAGGTGGGTTCTGATGAAGCAAAACAGATCCCAGCCCTATTTTATTTTATTAGCTGAAAAATAGTATATTTTCATGTGTCACTTGCAATGCACTCGCAGACAACTAGGTTTATGAGTACCCCAGGTTGGGAATCACTGCTCTCGAGCTGCTATAATGGATTAGCTTTTTATAGATTACTGGCTCCTATCACTTTAAAAAAATAAAAAAAATAAAACATACTGTATTTTAACAGCTAAAATATTGAAATGGCACTGTACTGTTCCAGTTGGTTTTGTAAGTACTACTTTTTTTGTCATTAGACTGTTATGCCAACTAAAATCTCATAAGATAGGTTTTTTTCATGACGAAAACTTTACATTTGGTACATTTTATAGGACTAGTGGTGGTGTAGTGGTTAGAGCATAGAGTTTGGAATCCTTAGGTTCTGCGTTCAAGCCCCACTCCCACAGACTGCCACTCTGGGTCCCTGTGCAACACCCCACACTGCTCCCCAGGTGCCCCACCATGGCAGCCCACTGCTCCCCATAGGTAGGGGTTAAATGCAGAGACAAATTTTCTGCAATGTGAGATAAATAAAATTAAATTTTTATCACTTAATTACAAATTTGAATTAAAAATATTTTTTTCAAACTGTTCCAATACAGACACTAAATGAAAGGACACAAGTGGTAAAAAAAATTGAGGAGCTTACATTTAATTAATTATCCCTTTTTTTCAGTTCTTGCATGCTTTTAAAAAACACTTCTTGTTTTCAAATACAAAGCCTATGTATATAAATTGTTGTAAAAACGTTGATATGAAAGTATTTTATATGTATATTAAAATAAATATGCATTCAAAATGTATTGTAATCGTCAATAGATGCACTATTTTGTTATTCTTCCACAATGCATCATTAGTATACACAATCTAATGAGATATATTCCTGATTTTTTTTACTGATACTTATAATACTTTAGTAATTTCAATTATTTTATATCGTCATCAGTCCTTATTTGGATATTCTAGATAAAATAAATGTATGAATATTCACTTGCAAACATTTTGGAGACAAAGTATTGTTTTAAAACTGTAATGGTTCATTCAAAAACCCAACTCTTGCTAAAATGATCACTTCCTATTAGGCAGCGTCTCCTTTTTTTGTATTCGTGACTCACCTTTGACATGTGTCTGCCGAGTATTTCATAATAAAATCCAAATAAGAAAGCAGGCGTTTCCTTGCTTTACTCCATATCAGTTGGTGGCGGTAATGCACATTTCACAAGTTTGCCAACCGCCATAAAATCTCATAAGAAGAAGAAGAAGAAAGCAGGCGTAAGGGTCCGCCCCTCCTCAGGACGTCGACCAATGAGATCCCCGCTAAAGAAACGGCGGACCAATAGGAAGGCTTGTTCTTGAAGAAGCTGGTAACTAAGCACAGAGTAACAGCGCTCGCGACAACAGCGTCTAAGGAAAAAGTGCAGTCCCCACTGATGGTCTACCCTTAGCAACCGTGGACAAACATGAGTTATCACAGCATAAGGTGAGCGGAATTCCTAACGTAATGCTCGGAGGCTGTTTGTGTTTTTTACCGTTTAATCAAGCCTTTACCTTTTGGGGAACAACGCATTAAAAAAATAAAACAAGTTTCCCCCCCAACTTTTCTCAAAGCAGCGCTGGTTTAGCTACCGTTAGCTTGTAACGATAAACAACACGATCCACTTGGATTCAACAAGCATTTTGGATTTTTTAATGAGCAGTTAAAGGCAACGGAGAGCCATTTTGGAGACGGACCAAACGTTTACTGCTGTGGTTGAGAAATACCGAGGAAAAATCTCCTTACTGCACCTAAACGAGGGATCATTTTCAAAGAACACTGCCTCGTTTTGTTTTTATTGCCGTTTCTATCCTACTGTACATGTTCTATCGATTTATTAGATGTGTCAAAAGCAAAGAGAAAGCTTCTTGTTTGTATTATCTGAATAAACCAGTGAGTGTTTCTACATATTTCTGTGAAGATGTTGATCTGCAGCTTCATATTTCATTCAGTGTCTGAATATGTTAAAGGTGCAAAGACATCCTGCTAGATATAACATCTAATCTTCAAAATTCAGAGGTTTAGGTTTATAGAGGAAAATTAATGGTCATGTCTGAACATGCCTTCAAGCAATTTGGACTCTTTCTGTTTTCCTCTTCTTTGTTGTAAACACTAGAATGTTCTAAAGTCTGCAAAGTACTATGCAGGTCGATTGCAGTTTAGTTTAAATTAAGGAGATCTGGAAAAAATGTTTATGCATTTTTTTTTTATCATTTTAATACTGATTTTTAAATGTAACTTGATTTTTTTTTATGTGTAAAGTAAGGTTTCCACAGTCTATACTTTTGTTTATCTGCTGACCTTTTTAAGTTAGTCTTGGTAACAGGTTTTCCTCCCATAATAATAATAATAATAATAATAATAATAAAAAACATTACAGGAAACTATAACATGCATTAGATGTTACTGCTTACATATAAACAAAGTAGGAATTATATTATTAGAATGTCAACTCGTGCATGATAAAAAAAAAAATGGGTAATGCTAATTAATCCATTAGAAAAAGAATGTTTCCATTATCTTACTTAAAAATAACTTGGTCTACAGTGTATTACCTGTAATCGGGCAATACTAGGCAGTTGGCCAGGGCTCCAAGATTCTGGGGGCCCCATAAAACTCTGTTAACTTGTATAGTTAATACAACTATTCCTTATTTTTGCACATTAGTTATGTTTTTGATACATATCCTTTTGCTGAAATTCCATCAGAACGCTTATAATATTAAATGTGTCTCAGCCCCCCCCTTCAGTGTCCACCATATTGGATCAGACATGTTCAGAAAGGTCCAAACCGACAGCAGCAAACCATTGGAAAACAAACAATATGCAGAGCAGTGTTGCCGACTTAGCGCTTTTGTGGCTATATTTAGCGACTTTTCAGACCCCTCTAGCATTTTATGACAAAAAAGCACCTAGTGCCAAATCTAGCGATTTTTTTCTGCTATTGGAGACTTTAGCAACAACATCTAAAAGCAGCGCACTCTGCTCGCCAGAGCAAGTAGATTCATAACCCCGCCTCCTGCTCTACTTTATCTTGCCTGCTGTCATGATTCATGCAGCTATTATTTCACCCAAATGAAAAATGGAGAACAGAGAAGCAGATCATGGCTTGTCTACAGTGAAAAGAAGGACTGGGTTATTTACTTTTGCCCTCGACTTTTTAGAAACACAGGAAGGAGCAATCAGCTAAGTGAGCTTAGTGCTTGGAAAAAATCTTTCATTCCTTTAGAGACCGCATGAAAAGTCAGCTGAGTACAAAACATAGAGAGGAAAACAAGAAAGAATAGACGGACAAAACCTAGAACACACAATGGATGTCTATTCTATTAACATTTCTGTATCTGAATAATGAGTCTGCTTATGTGTCATCTTCTCAATTCAGAGGGCCCCCTTCCTGTCTTTACCTAGGGCCATGCATTTCCTAAATCCACCCTTGCCTGTAATTAGGAATTTGCCTAACTTATGCTCCATTTAGATTCTAACTTGGTCGGCACCATATCAGGAAAACATTGAATGTTGATATGATTACTGAATACTGCGATGAGGATATCATTTACATTTTAATCCCCTTTTTGTCCCTCCTATCTTTCCTTACACATTTATACTTAATGTCCGTACACTCAGCTTTTAATACGAAGTCAAATGGATACATAGAGTGCAACAGCAGCTTAAAAGAACACGATAAGGAATGTAAACAAAATGAAAAGCTGAATAAAACAAATCAAGCGGCAGTCTCATTAATATTGGTCCTGTGAATTGGGATGAATTGTAATAACAATCATGGAAGCATAGAGCATTTGTTTTGGAAAATGAAGAGTATGAAATATGATCCAGAGTTATATTTATAAACAAATATATGTCAGTTACTTGATGTTTTCCTGAACAAATGGTGAGTTAGAAAGCTTATGATAAGGGTTCTGTTGTCGAGATCACATCTACTTCATGCAATTAAACCAGCAGAACAGAAATCTCCTTTCATTTCCTGACAGATAGAAATCAAAGCAACCGAAACCTTTTCCTGCTTCTCTACGACATCTATAGGCCTGCTCACATTAGACATTTGACTGAGCATTGCCTGACATAATTGCTTCCATACTGGGTATTTTTATTTTCTATTCTTGTTTTGTTTCTTAATACCAAATTTTTTGTCAGCATGATAGGAATAAACAGATGGCTGATCAGCCTACCAGCTGGATTGTGGACAGCAATACTCATCCAAACTCGACAGCTTGTGTGATAATTCACAAATGGCTGTTTCGGTATTTGCAGTCATCTATTTGCAAAAGAAGTGGAGTGATTGGAATCGTGTCACGTTCCTTTCATTATAACTCCTCCAGATTAGCCTTTGTGTCTCAGGAGAATCGCTTCAGTTAATGTTCCATGTTAAATATTTGCCACAGAATCGTATGCGGTTCGTTTCTTTTATTAAGCTGCTGAGTAATGAAGAGTTGGCAGCCTTGCTTCTGTTACAGATCCCACACTGCATGCTGGGATGAGCTGTTTAAAGAGTGACAGTTTTTCTAACGGCATGCCTGAGCAATATTGGAGAAACTGCTTACATTAGCCAAGAAAACAAACGTGAATGGTAAATAGTTTGTCGGGGTTTGTGGTTAGATTTCCTTTAAAAAAAACTACAAAAAAAAAAAACAAGATAAAGATACAAGTCCAGAGGCAGCAGTTTTCTGTACGACCACTAACTGTTTACTTCATGTTGCATCACAATTTGAACGTCTTAGTCATCTCACTTGGATATCCTCGGACCTTTTGTGTAAATCATTTTTTAAAATCTCTACTCGGACAGTGGTGCACCTCAGCAGCTGGAAGTAAAGCTTATGGTTGAGTGGTTTGTTTACGCAAACCCACACACATTTCCCAAATGCCTGTAGATTTGTGTGAAATTTTTGGTTTGACTTTTCTTTTTTCACTTTATACATAATCTTTTTCTTGAGTGGACTGCTTGAGATTCATGTAAATTTTGACAAACATTTTGGTGCCCCTCTGTGGTGAATCATCGTTCCCAGAATGTTTTTTTTTTTTTTTGCAAAGAGCGCTGCCGGCAATCAACAGCTTTCATTTCTCCAGATTCATTAAAACACAGCGAGGCAGAACCGTTGGAGAGTCGGTCTTGCTGGGTTATGCTTGACGTTCCCATGAGAAACCATCATTATTATTATAAACTCTTGCAGCTTATTTCCATCATTTGTTTAGAGCTTCATAATTACTCCCTCTGGTGGAAGATTCCCCCGCTTATCACCAGTTGACTTATGTAGAGTTTTACTGCCATCTCGCAGCACAAACTCACTCAACATAATCCCATTTTCTCGCTTTGCCAAATCGGTGTCAAACACAGGAGACTCTGGTCTCCTATCAACTAGATTAAGGTCTCCACACCCTGTTTGTTTAAAAAAAATGGTAATCTATAGGTTGCATTTTTATTGAGTTACCTTTAAAAGACACCAAGCACTTATCCAGTGTTACAGAGATGGACTTGAAAACCTCCCTCCTATGCAGACGGTCAAACTAGAAATGTTGGAAGGATTAAATATTTTTTGAGACATTTGCAGTTTTTAAAGATTGACTAATACCCATTGTTCCTTTCCTAAAAGATTCCAGAAAACATGGGAATCTGTAGGTAGACATCCTGCCTCTGAAAGGAGACTTTCAGCTGATTGTAGTGTCTGTCAGAAACTTACCGGGAGTAATTGGACAGTTAAATAAGCTGGGCTGGCTCAGAAGAAAAACAATTGCTGTGGAACATAAAAAGGGCAAATAGCTTGAAGATGCAGCATTATGTAGAGTATACTGATGGTTTAATATGATTTGATTTTAGTATTGCCTCTAGCTGTTAACCTGACTCCGCCAGATGGATTTGGAAACCTTCCGTTGAAGTAATTTTGGGAAGGGGCGAAAATAAGGTTAGCTGATTGGCCTATGTTGGTGATAGACGGGCCAAATAAACCAATCAGATCAACGAAGCATATGACGTAACAACAGAGCGACGACGAAAACACAGCCACAAGCCAATTGACAGATCAAACTCTTGCCGAAACCAGTCGGGAGAAGAGCAAAGACATCTTTTCCTCTGAGAAAAGCCTCCAGAGCAGTGTTTTGCTCTTCTTTCAGTGAAGAAATACTCTGTAATTCCGATAAAACTTGCTCGATAGCCACGCTAACGCTAGTTTCATCGGCTGAAGCCGCCATGTTCTTTAGACTGAACTGTCGTGCTTCTCGTTGCGTCACACCTCAACCCGCCTCAAAGCCAACGCTGATTGGATGTTCGTTTGGTGAACGGCTCCAAATTTTCTTTAACAGAGAGTCTCCAGACTGATTTGCGAGTGAAACCTTGAAAGCTCGCAAGATCACGATGGTCTCACGAGGCTAGTGGTTATCCCCATTCTTGTCCAATTCGACCTGCTTCTTTGGCCACGCATCAGAAAACCATGGCCA